GAGGAGGAGGAGGAGGAGGAGGAGGAGGAGGAGGAGGAGGAGACACATAATGACAACGAAGGATTGGCAGGCGGGGCGGAGATGGAGGGGCCAGGGCGGCCAGGGCCTGGCTCTTGGACAGCAGCGTCTTCATGTCCTGGGCAAAGTACTTGTCGATCTCCCTCTGCTCGCTCACGAACCGCTGGCCCACCTCTGTGTTCTGTTTCGTCGGTGGAAGGGGAGAAGGAACGATGCAAGGGGGAGGAGGAGGGAGGAGGAGGAGGAGGAGGAGGAGGAGGGAGGAGGGAGGAGGAGGAGGAGGAGGAGGGGAAGGAGGAGGATGAGGAGGAGGAGGAGGAGGAGGAGAAGGAGGAGGAAGGAGGAGGAGGAGGAGGAGGAGGAGGAGGAGGAGGAGGAGGAGGAGGAGAGGCGGAGGAGGAGGAGGAGGAGGAGGAGGAGGAGGAGGAGGAGGAGGAGGAGGAGGAGGAGGAGGAGAGGAGGAGGAGGAGGAGGAGGAGGAGGAGGAGGAGGAGGAGGAGGAGGAGGAGGAGGAGGAGGAGGAGGAGGAGGAGGAGGAGGAGGAGGAGGAGGGAGGAGGAGGAGGAGAAGAGGAGGAGGAGGAGGAGGAGGAGGAGAAGGAGGAGGAGGAGGAGGAGGAGGAGGAGGAGGAGGAGGAGGAGGAGGAGGAGGAGGAGGAGGAGGAGGGAGGAGGAGGAGGAGGAACATCATATTTCGGGCGCCGTTAAACGTGTTGACAACACATCCGCGCAAACCTGGGCCGTCACAACGTAATCCAGGCTGGAAGGCTAGTGGAGGGGAAGGTGCCGATGGCTCCCAGGACCCCGTGCCCACAACATATCACGACGTCGGAGGTCTGGGAAGGAGCGGAGGAGGACGAGCGAGAAAGGAGGCGGAGGAGGACGAGGAGGAGGATGAGGAGGTGGTAGTGGAGGAGGAGGAGAAGGATGAGGAGGCGGCTGAAGGGGCACGCGGTAGATGGCTGGGGAGGAGTGAGGGGTCCTCTTTCTCCCACCTCCCTCCTCCTCCTCCTCCTCCTCCTCCTCGTCTTCCTTGTCCTCCTTGCCCTCCTGTTCATCCTTCTGCCCACCCGCCACCTCCTCCTCCTCCTAACATGTACGCCGTTCCCCATTTCCGATTGCGCATGGCACGACGGGGTCTTTCTGTTGAAATTCCGGATACACCGCGATCGCAACCAGCTTGTCTTCTCCTTTTCTCCCCCTCCTCTTCCCTTCACTGCCTCCTCCTCTTCCTCATTTTGCCTACACGTGTGCGCTGTCCCGCGCGCGCGCGAGGACGTTAAGGAGGAGGAGGATGAGGAGGAGGAGGAGGCGGAGGAGGGGAAGGAGGAGAAGGAGAAGGAGGAGGAGGAGGAGGAGAAGTAGTAGGAGGAGGAGGAGGAGAAGGAGAAGGAGCAGGAGGAGCAGGAGGAGAAGGAGCAGGAGGAGCAGGAGGAGCAGGAGGAGCAGGATGAGGAGGAGCAGGAGGAGGAGGAGGAGGAGGAGGAGGAGGAGGGGGAGAAGGAGCAGGAGGAGGAGCTGGAGCTGGAAAATGATGATCAGAGGTGGAGGCGGAACCTTTTGGCCATGCCACCTTCCGACGACGCGAGCATACCCCAATGGTTGCACCGAAGCCCCTGGCCTGACACGGGCCCGCGCCGATACAAATTTCGCAGCGTACACTCGACGGGCCTCCTCCAATGTCACGCGAGTCAGCGGGGGGCCAACGTCGGACCTGACCGACGCTGGGCCCGCCCCCGACCATCCCCGCGCGTTTCTTCGTGGCCGGCTGCGAGAGCGGCAGCTGCGTTGGCCAGGCTCGCGGCCCCCCTCCGTGCCCTGCGCGGGCCCGCCTCCGCCAGCACCACCTCTTCCGCGCTCGAGGCCTGCGCGGCCTCCGCCGTCTGCGCCGACAACGGCTCCTGGCGCTGGGCGGCCGCCGCGGCCGTAGCCTCATACCGCGCCTCGTGCTCGGCGCCATGAGCGGCACCTGCGCTGGCAATGGCCGCGGCCCTCCTCACTCGAGCAGCAGTCGCCTCCGCCCGTGCCACCATCCTCCGCGCGCCCGAGGCCTGCGCAGCCTGCACCGCCCGCGCCGGCAGCGGCCCCTGGCGGTCGGCGGGCGCCTCGGCAGGAGCCTCCGGCGGCCCCTCGTGCGCCTCGTCCGACGCCTCCGCGGCCTCCGCCATCATCGGCACGAGGCGTTCGGCGGCCGCCGTGGCCGTGGCCTCCTCCAGCACGCCAGGCTCCTCGTCAGGGTCCTTCACGACCCCCACCTTCTTCAGTGTCTGTTGCTTCTCGGCCAGCTTCTTCTTGGCCTGCTTCTGCAACCTGGGAGCGGCCTTCGACGGGGACAGCCCGCTGAGAACCGCGAGCGCATGATCCCGCGCCGCCGAACTGTTCCGCTCACACTCCTCCAAGAACTCCTCACGTGCCCACGCGTCCACCGTGGGCGCGATCTGCTGGCACCTCCAGTGTCCCATCCGTAACGCCATCGTCGTGCACTGCCGCGGCCACGTCCAAATGCAAGTCGAACGGCATGGACGCAGTAGCATCGGCCCAGCACGATGCCGATGTAGCTCGACGGCGTTGAACCTCCTCCCAATCGTCGCTCGCCTTCGCAATGGGTGGGGGGACCCGACCACGCATTTCTTAAACGGCTACACCTGCCCGTGGAGCTGGTTGCCGGGCTTTACAAGCGCATCCTTCGACACCCGCTCCCCGCTCGCGGCCATCGCCGCGCTTTTTGGAGACAGGCGCCAGCTGCAACAGCAAGCTCAGGAGCTCCTCCCCACCGCACAACGCCCCAACCTCCCCGCCCCCCTCCACCGCGCTTAGCACGTATACGTGCTGGCGGCTCCACGACGGGCATCGCCCAACGATGCGGCAACACGCCCAGGCCGCCCAGCAGGCGGCGCCGCAGCAGCACCAGTGTCACCGAGCAGCGCGCCCGTGCCTGCCGTCGCCCGCCATCGCCCGGTCTCGCGCCGACGGGGCGGCGCTGCTCGAGCCGATCGCCATGGGGCTCGCACCCCCCTTTGGACCCCGATTGGGGGTTGAAGCCAAAACGGTTACGGAGAGGTGGAGGAAGATGCGGAGGAGGTGGAGGAAGTGGAGAAACACGAGGACGGTTGCCAGGAGATGTAGGAGTCGGCGGGGCGGGATGAGGAGGAGAAGGAGGACCAGCGTAAACGCAAGACTCATCAACGATGCTGGAATCAACCCTCCTTCCGAGCTCCTTCTTCATAGGCCCCTACAAGGATTCATTTCCACTTAAGGAAATGCCCCGTTGGGAAGCAACAACTTGAATACCCTGAAGCGTGCCAAAACACCGCAAAACGCCATTCTTGGGACTTCAATAAGGAAGCGAACTCTATACACCGCCGCTTTTTCCGACCCTGCGCTGAAACTCGCGCAGGAAGGCGGATTCTGGTGTATACGGGATCCTGGTGTAAACACTTTTCGTTGTTTCCCTTGGAAAGCGGGGGAACGGTATACACCACAGCACCCCGACGTCGTCTCCGATCCTCACAAAGTCGTGGGATTGAAAAAGCAACCCGCCACTGGTACTGTATACGTTCCAATTTCCGATTCAACACCGCGAATCAACGTAACTGTTGCCCCATGACAATCCTGAACCGTCCCAACACACGACTTGTAGCACGTTAGCCCTGGACATCCTTGAACCACTTGCAACTTTGTAAAACACATGTGCGCGGCACTACGGCGAGAACCACATTTTGCAGAAGAACCGCACTCAATCGTGAAGCCCTTGCAACATTTAAAAACGAATGTGCGCGACGCTCAAGCGATAACCACATGTTGAAACCAACTGCCCTGAATCAGCGAAGCTCTTACGCATGTTTGAAGCGAATGCGCGCGGCGCTAAACCACATTTTGACGAACACCCGCCCTCAATCCGTGACGCTCTGCAATGTTTTAAACGAGTGTGCATGGCGCTACAGTGAAAACCCTATTGTGAAAACCACCCGCCCTCCATCTATGAAACTGTTTGATCATACATGGTAAGAATTTCTCAGGTGAAACGCCAGGCCCGCCCTTTCGACTGGCCTCAGGGTGCGACAGGGTGGAGTTATGTAGAAAGAACAAGTAGAGGAAGAGTAAGAAGAGAACCAGTGTACACCCCAACCGCAATAACAATTTTACAATAAATCCTTCCTCCGAACTTCATTTTCAAATGTTCCCACAAGAGTCGATCTTCATGGCGGGGACACCAATTGAAAGAACGCCGTCTGAGAATTTCCACTCGTTCCAAAACGCCATTCCTAGGATTTCAGCGCCGAGAATCAACATGACTGTTGCGTCCAGGCGCTCGAATACAATGCCAAAACACAATTCCTTGGACCTCCGCACCCCGAATCAACGCAAGTGTTGCGTCTTGACAATCGTAAACCGTGCCAGAACACATTTACTGGGACTTCAACGCAGAGAATCAACATGACTGTCGCGTCCGGGCGCTCGCAAACCGTGCCAGAACACAGTTCCTAGGACCTGAGCACAGCGATACAATGTACGTGTTGCGTCGTGACAATCGTCAACCGCGCGAGAAAACAATTCATGGAACTTCAACGCTGAGAACCCACGTGACCGTTGCGTCCTGACAGTTTTAATTCGTGCTGGCCGCCTTTCCTGAGACTCCAGCACCCCGGATCAACGTGACTGATACGTCCTGACAACCTCAGATCGCGCCAAAACGCAAATCCTGGGACTTCAACCCGATGAATCCTTCAAAACGGCTGCAAACTTTTAGGAATGTGCGCGGCGCTGGGACGATGAGCACATTCTGGAAAAAAATACATGCCCTCCATCCTTGGAGCTGCGGCGAAAGATTACGACGAATGTGCGCAGCGCTGTGGCGAGAACCACACTCTGAAAACGGGCCGCCCCCCATCCTTGAAGCTGCTGCGATCTTTGAAAGCGAATGCGCGCGGCGTTAAGGCGAGAGCCACATCTTGAAGACGGGCCGCCCTCCATCCTTGGGACTGTGGCAAGCTTTGGGGGCAAATGTGCGCGGTGCTCAGGCGGGGGACTCATTTTGAATGAAAACGGCCCACATCCCTTCATCGAACATTTAGCAACGTTTCGAGCGTCAAGATCATGCATGGTGGGGGGGGGGGTCTGAAGCAGAACGCCCAGCCCGCCCTACCGACACGCCTGGAGGCGCGACCAGGAACACTTATCCATACGGAAAGGGGATGAAGGAGGAGGAGGACGAGGAGCAGCATTAGGAGGAGGATGATGAGGAGGAGGAGGCGTAACACAGATGGGGAACTAAGGAGCAAGAAGAGGAGGAAGAGGAAAAGGAGGAAAAGGAAGAGTGGGAGGAGGAAGAGGACGACAGCCACAACGACAACGACAACGACAACGACGGCGACGAGCAGCAAGAGCGAACGACCCCAACGCCTGCACCAACATGGCGCCAGATTTAGGCGCCCCCGGGCAGCACGCTTCGGCGTCGCCCCCCGGTGCGGTGGTGCCTGGGGCAAAAAACGGCTGTGGCCGGGAGGAGGAGGCAATGATGGAAATAAGGAAGGAAGGACGGAAGGAATGAGGGAGCAGGAGGAGGAAGAGGAGGATGAGTAGGAAGAGGAAACAGAAACATAAGACGAACAATAATAATACTAATCATAATGCTAATAAGAACAATACTAATACTACTAATACTACTACGGATCAGAACAAGGATACTAATACTACTTTTTTTATTAAGAACACATGCGCTCGCGAAGATCCACCTGCAACGGGCACAATGGCTACGTGGGACAGAACCCAGACAACCAAGAAGGTACACTGGCACTGCACAACCTCCGAGGCCGTGCCGCGGAGGTCGGGGCAGCCTGTATCGTGCCTTCCTCGCCACGAGCTGGACCCCGAGCGCCCGCGCGGCCAGCCCAGCAATCAGCAAGCATTGCAGTGCAACGCGTGGATACAACACCACGGTTGCACGAGCCCCCGTGACAAGAGGGCCCCCGATGACAGGGTCCCAGAGGGGTGCTGGTAGCGAGCTGGGCAAGGCCTCGGGAGAAGACTCCGGGCGTGCCAGACAGGCAGCTGCCAGCAGTGCGCAGAGACGTCTGCGACCGAATCAAAGACAGCGCCGACATGAATCCGAACCCGGCCTGTCGTCTTCAACCCCCGCCCCACGAGCTCACCCCCACTCGTGGTCCCACAGCGGGCAACAGCGGCACCTCGTCCTCTTCAAGGACAAGACCAGACCTGTCTCGAATCAGCTGCGAGGCGCACCCGCTTTGGTCGTTGGTCGACGCAGCGGGCCTGTCCTCGGACGGCGCGGAAGAGGAACTCAAGACAAAAGACTGGCCGTCCAGGCCAGGTGGGGCAGAAAACGTGATGCACAACGAGATCCTTCGCTGTCGGATGAAATCCCATGCGAATATGATGCCATGCCCTGGTCCCGAATTTGCCGGGAGGTGGGTCACAACGCTGTGGTGGAGGGGCGAACAATACCGTGTGAGGTATAGAATTTCCACCTCATGCGCACTACAGCTCCGTCACGGCATGGAACCATCACACACCAGTGGTTCAGAAAAATCCAGCTTTCAGCGCTGCGCTCCTATAAACCCGAGCAATTACCTGATGGCGGCTTGACACCGTTAAGGACGACGAATCTGAAGACAGCGATGGCAGCACCAGTTAGAAGTAGACTGAAACAGCTGGTGCCCCCCAGCTTGCGAGTTTGACGATGAGGCTGGCTGTGGGATGTATTCGATACCTGTAGAGGCGCTGAACGACGACCACAAAGGCAAACACTTAACAGCGGGCAGAACGGCAACCCTACAATGCTTCACGCGCACACAGGTCAGTGTATTCCGAAACCACTTCGCCGATGGGATGGCTGCAGGCGGCGGCTTTGGCCCCGCGTCCGCGAGATGGTACCCGAAGCGACGGGCCAGCTCGGCGTCCGAAACTCCTTATTCCCGAAGCCTCTGAAGTGCCTCGACAGTCGGAACCGCAGAGGCATGCCGCCTCCCAGGCCGGCCCAAAATAAGCAAGACAACGCAAACACGCATGCGTTTGAAGCAGGTTTGGCCGTCCCTGGGAAGGTCGTGGACTCGCTTTAACTTGGCGCAGTCCGTGACCAGCTCGCTAGGGCCCTGGCAGGCGCATGGTGGCGCCCCAGTGTCCAGAACATTATCCAGCCTGCGGGGCCTGGGGGCGAGGGGCCCGCGCGGGGCATCTCGTGGTGCGCGCGTGCTCGTCGAGATCGTTGGAAAGTGCCAGGGACCAGGCCGCGCGATTGGCTTCCTTGATGGAATGGCGGGCGCAGGGCCCGTCGATAAAGACTTTGCCCCGAGTTGGGGAAGTGCGAGGAGGGGGGCGGGGGGCTCGCGCTTCCATCGCCAACCAGCTCGCGTCGCTCATCGTTGCGTGACGGGCAGGCCCAAGGCCACTGAAACATTGTCTCTAGTCATCCCGCGACGTTCACGCATGTCAAGGAATTGGTAACCCTTGGGCACAGCATGCATTCGAAACCAGATCGCCCCACGCGACCAGGCCCTAATGCTGCCATTTTCCAGAGGTCGCAACTTCTACTTGCAAGACTGGAACAAACGATATCCAGGCACCCCCGTTGAAGAAAACCGAATTTGCCGCATGTCCCGTTCTCATCGACGAAAGCAGCATCGCGAAGCAGGCTGCGAACAAGCGCGGGCAAGAGCGACGCAAGAGGTGGCTCAGCTCCACGATCGACAAGCGACGTGGCGACATCTCTCATCTGCCAACCGATCCGCTCCAAGGACTTCCTCATGGCCGAAATAGGTCCTGGCGTATTCCCGAAGGACTTAAGCTCCTTACCGAAACATCGAACCCAGGAGTCCCTCGTGGGATGCTCGGAGGGTGTGCCACAATTCCTTATGCCGCCCACGCGCAGGGGCCACCTCGGGCATCCACGCGGGGTCCTGCTCAATCCTCGAGAGGACCGAGAGAGACCTATCATCTGCCGGGGTTGCGATGTCACTCGCAAAAGGAAGACAAGAGGCCAGCGCCTCCGAGTCCGACGCGGCGCGGATGTCCGACCCCTGAGTCGCAGCAGGAAGGGCCCATTCTTCACGACAAGCTTTTCGGGCCCTGCGCTCGAATGCGCAGGCGGGGCGACCGCGCCTAACGGGGCGCCGCGCAGCCCGAGGGAGAAGACTCTTAATGTGGACATTCTTGCCTCGAGTACGCGCTGGGCTGCAAGCGGCGTCGTCGACTCCGAGGTTCGGAGCCGAAGCAACCAATCGATCAGCCAGGACTCCCCCGAAGTTTCTTGAAAAGTCAGACCTACCGATGGTGGGGACATATTGAAGCCCCTTTGTCATCGGCCGAGGTCGCGCCGATGCCATCCGCGACGGCGCGGCGCAGCTGGGTCGCGGCCGAGGCGAGGGAACTGTCAACTTCATCTTCAGATCCAATGGCATGGATGGAATTGTCATCGATGCAACGATGCAAGCAGGCCGTGCGATCTGGTCGAGGCCGTTCAGAACATTGTCGCGAGTCATTGTCGCGGCAGAAGAGCAGCCCGCGATGGCGCCGAACTTTGCGTCGAGAGCCTCTTCGAGTGGTGGCGCGCGCTCGCGTGGGCCGAGGAATAATGGCGAGCGGTGTCCATTGGAAAGCCGTGCTGCGCGCGCCTACAGATCAACTTATCTAAGTCGATGGTTTTCGCGATGCTCCTGGGAATCCGCGGGGATGGCGCAGGCCTGGAGGCCTTCGGCAACGCGGCCTGTGCTGCTGACCGCCCGTCGCCAGACAGAGTCAGCTGCGCCTGCGGGGCGACCCGCGGCGAACCGGGGGCCATGGCAACTCGCCCCCCAGGCCAGGGCGAGGGGCCCGCGAGTCTGAGCCCAGCCCTGCACAGGCCCCCAAAGAGCCCGGCATGGCGGAGCCAGGGGGCCGCCCTTGGGATGGGGCGGATTGAAAACACGCAGATATTAGCAAGGGATCAAAGAGGATATTTCCATGATCAACATGATCAAAGCCAGGCGCTCCAGATTGTCCTCCGACTGCCAGGGGGAGTGGCGGATGTGAGAACCGTCGGTGGACGTGGCCGCGGCAGTCTTGCGCCTCGGGCAAACGCTTCAGATCACGTCGGGGGAGGGGGGTGGGCAGCTCGGCGGCTGCGGCGCACCGGTCCGCGGGGGCGGGCGGAGTGGCGGCAGCCTCCCACAAACCTTGGAAGCGAGACGCCCACTCGTTTAAAATGTTGTGGGGGTTGCCCGCGACGCGGCCGTCGGCCGGCAGAACCGTGGAAAGGGGCGAAGGGCTCGAGGCCCCCGTGGACTGGGCGGGCGCGATGGGCACCGCTGTCGAAACCGTGAAGAACCCGCGCTTTTCAAGAAGCCTGGCTGGAGGCCCGAGTCTCAGAGATGCGCGTGTCAAGCTGCCCCCGAAGAGCCTCCTGTAACGCGGTGGCGCGCTCGAAGTCCGCCCCCCTTCGCGCGGGCGCAGTCTGCCGCGAAATCTCAAATGCCAGTTTAATGCTCGCTTCGCGATCGCCCCGCGCAGCCGCGACTCTTGCCGGGGCAGACATAGGAGCGGCGATGGCCGCGGCAATCGGCGGCGCATTGGCGTCCGCTGGGGGGCCCGACAGAATTGAGAGCCGCTGCCGCGGCAAGCGCGCGGCGCGCAAGTGCGGGTTCCAGGGGGCGCGCGTGTCGAGATCCAGCGCCGATCTCCAGACAATTCCAAGGTGCCCCCGACGGACTCCCCCCTCGGGCCAGCTCGGTCTCAGCCGCGTTGGCCCACTGGCGGCGCCCCTGGTCGAGGACTTCCAGCGCGCGCGCGCGTCGCCCCCCGAGCGAGCCGCGACGGCGCTGGCTTGCAGGGAAGCGCGAGGACAGGCAGCGCTTGGAGGCTCATGCGCGGGGGGGGCTTCTTAAACGCGCTGGACTATAGGCTGCCGAGCTGAGGAGAACGCGGTGAAGCGAACGGGCGGGTGGGGGTTGAGATCGGAGCTGGCCGCCATCGCGCGTGGAAAAGTCGCCCAACTTTAAGCTCCCGTCGTCGCGCCCGTTCCCAGGGCGCCAGGATGGGGAATCTGTCCATCAGCGTTGGTAGCGAAAGAAGACTGGCGCGTGAGCTGAGAGTCGAAATTGAAATCGCCCCGAAACGCCAGAGGAGATCCACGGGGGGCATGGCCGGGCCGTAAGCAGCGAGGACATTGCCAAGCCTAAAGATCCCATCTTGGGAGCGGAGAGAGAGAGAGAGGGATATATATATAGAGAGAGAGAGAAAACAAAAAGAAAGAGAGAGAGAGAGAGAGAAACAGAGAGAGAGAGAGAGAAAAGGAGAGAGAGAGAGAGAGGAATATATATATAGAGAGAGAGAGAGAGAGAGAGAGAGAGAGAGAGAGAGAGGGAGAGAGAGAGAGAGAGAGAGAGAGAGAGAGAGAAAAAAAAAAAAGTATACACAGATAACGAGAAATAGAACAATATAGAGAGAGGGAGAGAGAGAGAGAGAGAGAGAGAGAGAGAGAGAGAGAGGAGAGAGACAGAGAGAGAGAGTGAGAGAGAGAGAGAGAGAGAAACAAAAAAACAATCAAATAAAGAAAGAGAGAGAGGACAAACAAACAAAACGACATAAATACTCTGACCACGATGCCCCCTGGAATCTACGCGCCCCTGAAGGCTCCTCCAACCAGCCCTCGAGGCCCTGGCCGACGCTTGCCGAATCTCTTCCTTGGAAACAGGTGATGCTCCTGAAGCAGGGCGATCTGAGATGAGGTCCTGGACAGCCCGCCCACCCCTGGCGCCCCCCCCCCTGACGCGTTGCGCGCTTCAAAGGACAACGAGGCAGAGCCAACGCGCGGGGGAGTTGGGCGAGAGAGAAAAGGCCGGGCGCAATCATAAACTCTAGGCCCATGAACGGACCGCATCTGCGACCCTGGGGGGCTGTCGAGGAGCAGAAGGAATGGGGAACGACCGGACTTGCGTGGACTGGCGAACAGGTCGCCTCTTGCCAAACAACGGAAGAACTCCTAGTGACCCGGCCCCCCTCGGGGGCCTTCGAGGGAATGCGCGCCGTCTTCTCATGCGGCGTCTCCGAAGCTGGAGCTCCTGAACTGGGCCCCTCCCCTCCTGGCCCTGCGCCGGGCCCATCCCCCCCTCCCGAAGAAACGGCGGCGACAGGATTTGCTTGGAACAAGATCGGCATTATGCTTCCTGGTGTGCTCCACGCGCGCCGCCGCGTCGGAGAAAATATTAGTTGCGGACTCCTTGAGAGCAGCGTTGAGCTGCGCGGCCATCTGCTTAGCCTTCTCCTGGTCCTCTGGAGAAGCCGAATACCCCGCCTCGTCCGGCTTGAACACGTCGCCCACCGTGATGGTGTTGTCAGCAGGGCTATGAAGGATTGGTTGAACTGAGATCTGTGGCTTGACGCTGTCATTACGAGCGTGGGGGAGCCACTTTCTCGTGCAGCTCGGCCACCATTGCCTGATGTGCAGCCCCGCGCTCCGAATCTTCAGTCTTGGCCCTCGCCGCGATCTTTTTTGGCGCGGTCAGGCTGGCCTCCAGGATCGAGTAGACCGTGGCAGTCTTCTGGAGCTGTTGTTCAGCGGCTCGCAAATTGTGGAAAGCCTGGTTGACGCGATTCTCGACGGGGGCCTGCGCCGGCACCTGGATGCGCCGGGCAAGCGTAGCAGCATGCTTGCGAGAACTGGCGGCGTCACCTCACAGCACGGAGCGATTGGACCGACGTCACGGGCTCGCCATCCGACATGGTTGCAAGAACGGCTGGTTCAGCTGCCGCTGTTGACAGTAGCTGAGATTCGCAAGAGGCCCCTTTTCCACGCGATTTCTTGCTTGCCTACCTGCCTGCCTTCGCACCACCAAATTTCGAAAAGCCAGGCTCGAATTGAGGGACGACAAGAAAGACAGACACATAACCAGCATCCTTACCGTGCGAAATTCCGTACCACGGGGGCGTCAATCTCCAAGTATCATCGCGCCAATGCATGCTAGAGAACGTTTAGAAAACTTGGGGGGGAACGGTCCCCCTGCGAGCACTTTCGCCTGCTGGCGCGAGCCGTTCTGAAGCGCGCGCCGGAAAAGCTCGAAACCGTTCTGAACACAGAACGGTTGGGAGGAACGGAAAAGGAGGATGTGAAGGAGAAGGGAAGGGTCCCGAACCTTCTGAGAACATTCTGGTGTTGAGGCCCCCCCCCCCCCCCCCCCCCCCCCCCCCCCCCCCCCCCCCCCCCCCCCCCCTCCCCCCCCCAAAGGGCCCCCGTGCTGAGCGCCAGGGCAAACAGAGAGAACATCCACTGCGATAGCTCCGCGAGATACCCATGCGACAAGTGGGGTCGAGAGCTTCGCTCGAGAGCCTCTGGCAGCCCCCCGTTGAAACTTCCAAGGGCGCCCGACGCTTCGTCCTGGGCCCCCGAAGCTTTTGAGCATCGCCTCTTGAACCGTCTACGGGCACCTGGCGGCTCGGACTGGGCGTCGACGGAATGCCCACAAAAGCCCACTGTGAGCCTCCGCGGAAAGCCAACTACGTACTCGTCCCGGGGTTCGGGAACCCCAACAACCTCTGCGAAGTCCTCCACGCACGCCCGCCGACACGGACTGGAGGTCAAGCGTCCGCAAGAGTTCTCCTTAGCCCTCCACGGGCACCAGGCGACTCGACGTGGGGCTCCAGAGCCCCCTTGGAGTTCTCAGCGAGCACCTAGCGCCGCGGCTTGGGGCTCGAGAGTCACCAAAAACCCCGCCAGAGGTCGCCACGACCACCCGTCGACTCGGACTGGAGGTCGGATTTGCCCGCAAGAGCTCACCCTGACTCCTCCATTACCACCCGCCGACCCTGACTGGAGGTCAAGTGCCCGCAAGACCCACCTCCGAAACTTGCACGATCGCCAGGCGCCTAAGCTTGGGCACGGCATCCGAAGACCCCCGAGGGCCCTGGGGACCCTGGCATCCGAGGTCACGGCAGGTGGCCGTGAGCAGATCTGACGACATGTAAGAGGAAACTTCGTTTTGACATGGAGCCGCCCTCAATCATGGCGTCCGCTGGGCATGCTTAGAAAGAGTGTGCGCGGGGCTGTGGCGAGGGCCGCACTTGAGAACGACCCGCGCTCCATCCTGCAGCTGTTCAAAAGCGAACCTGCCGCGCACAAGCGAGAGCCACATTTTAAGCACATCCGCTCTCCATCCCTGTACATGTTGGGCATGTTTGAGGCGAGTGTGCGCGGCGCACGCTTGAAACCATCCACGTTCCATACTGGTAACTGTCGGATGCTTCGAGCTTCGAGATGGAGGAAGGCTTTGGCTTGGGCTGCTACCTTCTCAACCTAGCTGCGAATGCTCTACAATGAGCCTAAGGCGCTGTGATCGCTCCAGGACCTTGGGCCAAAACGGTTTACAGCGCTGCAAGACGACACACCAGGTCCACCCTATCGATTCTGGCTGCGTGTGGCAAAGGGAGGATGAGGGAGGAAAGAGGAAGAGGAGGACGCGAAGAGAAGGAGAATAGGTAGAAGGAGGAAGAGAAGGAGGGAGGAGGGAGGAAGAGGACCTCTCGAGAAGAACCCAGCTCAGAACCGGCCCCAAGGTCCCCTCCCCGGTGAGCTCTTGCGAGCCGCGCCTCTACTGAGGTGACGAGATCCTCCAATAATGCCCCGCCCCCCCCCCAGAAGCTCCCGAGTACGGCGCTGGTCGCCGACGACGACGAAGTCGTCGTGGACGCCGCCGTGGATGAGGTCACCGTCGACGAAGACGTCGTCGCGGACGTCGTCGTGGCCGTCGTTGCGGACGTCGTCGTCGTCGTCCCAGACGTCATCTTCGCCATCGTCGCCCCCGACGACGACGTCGTCGTGGACGGTCGCCGTCGTCGACGGGGCGCGCGGCGGGCCCCCCGGCGGCGGCGACAACTCCTCTGGCCTCAGGCCCTCCCGGTTGCGCGCGCCCACGTCGAGCCGCCTCGTTCGATGGGGGGCTGGCTGGCGGCGCCATCCGCGCCGGCCGTCGGCGTCGGCGGCGCCACCGCCCCTCCACTCCGTTCTGCTCCTCCCGCTCCCCCTGTCCTTCCCGCTGCGCTCTCGCTCCTCCCGCACTGCTCCTCCCCCCCTCCTCCTCCTCGTCTTCCTCCCGTTCCTCCTCTTCCTCCTCCCGCTCGTTCTCGTCCTCGTCCTCGTCCTCGTCTCCGTCCTCGTCGTCCTCTCCCTCCTCCTCCTCCTCCTCCTCCTTCTCCACCTCCCCGTCTCCTCCTCCTTCTTCTCCTCCTCCTCCTCCTCCTCCACCTCCTCCTCCTCCTCCTCCTCCTCCTCCCCTCCTCCTCCTCGTCCTCATCAGCCTCCTTCTCCTCTTCTCCGCTTCGTCCTCCTCCCGCCCTCTCCTCCTGCTCCTGCTCCTCGTCTTCTTCCCCCTCCTCCTCCATCGCCCTTTCGTACACCGTCTCTGTAGGCCGGGCCGGGCGTATCGCTTGAGTGTTCCGCGCAATTCCCGAAGGTAGAATTCGCCGGCCCAACGGGCCAAAGGCGTGCTAAGATCTCCGGTAACTGCTAAACAATACTTCTAGTTCGCGCGCGCGGGGCGGCCCCTGGGGGTCCCCCGGCGAAAAGTACCCCGACCGCCGCCCGACCACTGCTACTCAGAGATGGTTTTCCTCCTGGGTGTGGCTTCTCAGGCCCCCCAGAGCGCGCCAAGAGTGCCCCAAGAGGCCCCCAAGACTGCCCAAAGGGCCCCCGAGACGCCTAAAGAGCGCTCCAAGACGCCGATGATGACCTCAAGACGGCCCAAGAGGCCTCCAAGTGGCCTCCAAGAGGCCTCACAAGAGGGCCCTGAGAGGCCCAAATCAGACATTTTACGATGGTTTTGAAAGAATTTGGGCCTTGTCCCCTTTTCGGCCATCCGATGCTCCAAGACGGCCCAGGAGGCCCCCAAGAGCACCCCAAGACGGGCCAAGAGGCTTCCACGAGGGCCCCAAGAGGGCCCAAGAGGGCCCCGAGACGACCCAAGAGGCGCCCAAGACGGCCCAAGACGGCCCCAAGACGGCCCCAAGAGGGGCCCAAGAGGGGGACCACGAACCAAAACCTCGAGCCTTCCGCCCCAAGAGGGCCCCAGGAGGCCCCGAGAGGCCCCAAAGAGGCCCCAAGATGCCGCCAAGAGGCCCCCAAGAGGTCCCAGGAGGCCCCCAGGAGGCCCCCCAGAAGACTTCAAAAATGCCTCCCAGGCGCCCTCGAACGGCTTCTGAAAAGACCCCAAGAGGCCTCCCAGAGAAGCATCTTGACGACGACCCTGTTTGGCCCCAAGAGCAACACAAGATGCCAACGAGAGGCTTCCTCCTCCGCCCCTTCCTCTTCCTCCTCCTCCTCCTACTTATCTTCATCCTCCTCATCTCCTTCTCATCCTCTCCTCCTCCTCCCCTCCCCTTCCCCATCCTCATCTTCTTCCTCCTCGGCGGCGCCACAATGGCCCCGGGCCCACGGCGAAGCAGTAGCGATCATGCAACATGGGCCGGCGGAATGAGCGAAGCGATTGAATATAAGAACATATTCCACCTGGTGCAAGTATGGCGGGCTGGAAGTTTTCAAGATGTGGCTCTCGCATAGGCACCGCGCGCATTAGTTTGAATTAGTGCCAGCAGGTGCCGAGATGGTGTGCCAGTGGTTTTCCATTTCTTTCGCGTCATCGCCACGCAATCTGCTATTCCAGGAAAGTACGCGCTTCCATCAATTATGGATGGATGTTTTTTGTTGTTTTGTCGTTTTTGCAGAGTGAGGCTCTCGCATGATACTTCCACAGCTTAGTGTCCCGAACTTGAAAATCTGGCAGCCCTTGCACGGATAAGAGGGCATTTCGTATCAAAAGGGGCTATGGCTGAACACTTCTCTGGCATTGGTCATCCTACATCCCTGCGTCTCTTTCAGCTCCTAAAGTGGGGAGTGGATCCTTTACAAAACGGGATCTCGCCAGAGTGCTCGTCATTCGAACGTGGGCGATTCCCTCAAGGGAAAGAACATCTGTAGGGACTCATGAGGCGATGATTTTGGACGGGAGGGTACCTTGCAGCAGCGTTTATGCATCTCGGATCCTCCGTTCCTGTTTCACATGAATATCGCCTCCCTGTCGCACCCCGAGGCCAATCAGAAGGGCCGCGTGGGCGTTTCGCCGGAGACTTCGTCACCACGTACGATCCTGAAGCTGAGGATTTGCAAAAGTTTCACGGATGGATGGCGGGTGGTTTTCAAAATGTGGCGTTCGCATTAGCGCGGCGCGCGCTCGTCTTGAACAAATACAAGGGCTTCACTGGTTGAGGGCGGGCCGTTTTCAACATGTGGCTCTCGCCTCAACGCCGCGCGCATTCGTACTACAAAATTGCAAGAATTGCGCGGGTTGGCGAGAAGTGCTTTTCACGCTGTAGCCCTCGCCTTAGCGCCGCACGCACTCGTGTTCAAGAATTGCAGCAATTGCACATCTGGAGGACGGGCAATTTTCAAACGTGGCTCTCGCCTTCGCTCCGCGCGCACTTGCCAGACACATTTGCAACAGCTTCACGGGTGGAGGGCCCCTCGTTCTCAAAGTGTGGCTCTGGCCTCGGCGTCGCGCGCGCTCGCGCACAGAAAGTTGGAAGAGCTTCGCGGATGGAGGGTGGTTCCTTTTCAAAGTGTGGCTCTCGCGTTCGCGCCGCGCATATTTCGCTTTAAGAGCTTGCAGCAGTCTCAAGGGTCTCCGTGGCTAGCGTCCCAGAGACGATGTTTTTTGCATGGTGTCGGATTGTCAGAG